AGGACCCCTCCACCCTCCATCCACCAGGCCCCGCCCCCCGCCCCCCCCTCGGGCTGCCCCCTACGCGACCCGGCCGGGAGCAAAGGAACAAACGGACTCCACAGGATCGGGTGGGGGGGTACAGACTGAGGCCGAACCCCCGGGAAGTCGCCGCGTCTGACCAGCGGGGCTCCCCGCCCGCTCGCATCCGGGTTGTTGCCAGCTTCACCCGTCCCCCACCTGCGGCCGCGGCCGGGACCGACGGGGACTGCGCCTGCGCCAACAGCAACTCCCGAGAGGCTTCGCTCGGGCTGCGCGCTCGCATCCGGGTTGTTCCCCGCTTGACCCGTCCCCCTCCCGCGGCTCCAAAATTGCTTACGCGAGGATCCTTATCCCGGCGCGGTGCACCGAGGCCGCAGGCCACGTCGTTTGCGGCGAACTACATCCCCCAGAGGGAACCGCGCGCGCTTCCGGTCATGTCTGTGTTCGCTAAGCACCAGGGCAGCGTCCTAAGGCGTTAGGCTGCATCCGAGCTCGGTTTGCAGAACCAGCCGGTCCTGCCCAAACCTCCCACTCCGCACTGTTTCGTGGAAGGGCTGTGAAGGCCACGTTCGGCCTTCGCCTGTAGTGCGCCTGCGCGGGCGCGCTTCGAACTACAACTCCCAGAGGGCCACCCGCGGGTTGCGTGCGCTGCTCCCCCTCCTGGCGGAGTGTTCACGGCCCTAGTTCGATTCCCGGCAGCGGTACTTATTTCCCTTTTATACATATTCACTGCCCTGCCCCTCGCATCACGGTCTTTTCGGACAGGCCCCCAGCTTGGATGGTGCACAGAGACATAAAAAAGGAGTGAGGCAAAAAAAAGATACAGAAGAATCGTTTTTTGGGTTTCATCCTAGAACGAAAGAGGACGGGCCTGTGACAATGACATAACATTTAAGTGTCGTCTTTGTCACATATAGAAAGTACATTGTGACATTTATTTTCATTTCGTCCCAGGAATGTGTATTTGAAATCCCTGCTGCAGACCCAAGAGGCGGGGAAGCCCACGGCGTCGTCGCATGGCCTCCCGGGAGATGTGGTCCGCAGCGATGAGGACTACAACTCCCGAGAGGCTTCGCGTCTACACGAGGTTCATTTGCCCGAGCCACCCACTCCAGCCCACTGTCAAGGTGGACACTGGTGCCGCGGTGCCTTCTGGGAGAAGTAGTACGAGGCTGCGTGTGTCCGAGAGCGGCTCCTGGTGGAGGAGGCTGGCATAACCACGAGTCCCTATGACCCGTTATTCTCAACCCCGGGTTTCCGGGACCCTGCGGAGCCTCCAACCCTGTTGTCAGGGGTCAGCACTGTGAGCATCACAGCGGGCCCAGGCCTGGCCGGGAGCCTGGGCTTCACGTCCCCGAAGACCGAGGTTTAGTGCACGCCCGCTGGGTGCACGTCCTCACTGGCCCGCTTTCTGGAAAGTCGGACTCTCCGGGCACCAGTTGCTCCGACTGTTGGACCAGGTAAGGCTGGGGGCCTTGGGACTACAACTCCCAGAAGAACTAGCGCGGCTGCCTTAGGGCGGCACAGCGATTGGTCAGGTGACCTCGCGCGGAGACTTCTGGTCGCGATAGTTCGCTTTTCTCTGAGGCCCATTGGCTGGTCCGGAACTGACTCCAGCTGGGAGTCCTGGTGCCCTTGGTGCAGTCTGTCTCCGGACCTGAGGGGGGCAGTGTGGCAGGTGGTCCTCTCACTACTTTCCATACAGGAGCCTCTTCTGAACTCTTTTTAAAAAAATATTTTTTACTAGAGGCCCAATGCACGAAATGCGTGCATGGGTAGGGTCCCTAGGCCTGGCTATCAATCAGGGCCGATCTGTGGGGCGACTGGCGGGGCCATCAGGAGGCCCCCTCCCCCCCTTGGCTCCCACCTCCATCCCGCTGGCACCTGTCTTGGCTGGCCTGGGGCCTGCGGGCTGGGGGCAGCTCCTGCATTGAAGGTCTGCCCCCTGGTGGTCAGTGCGCATCATAGCGACTGATTGTTCCACCCGTTATTCTGCTATTCAGTCCATTTGCATATTAGGCTTTTATTATATAGGATTGATTTCAGAAAGGACTTGAGAGAGAGAGACATGAACGATGAGAGTGAATAATTGATCCCATGCCTCCTGCACGCCCCACACTGGGGATCGAGCCTGCAACCTGGGCATGTGCCCTTAGCTGGGATTGAACCTGGGACCCTGCAGTCCGCGGGCCGATGCTCTATCCACTGAGCATCACCGGCTAGGGCCCCTTCCAGGCTCTTGAGACTTAGCTCATGGGGCTCCTGGCAGCTCATTGCTGGTTAAGTGGCCGATGGGATGGACATATGGGGCATCCTCACTTTCCTTCTGGACGGCCCCTCAGCCGGTCATTTGTCCACGGAGGGAAACAGAAGAGGTAGCAAATCCGATGAGTCATACTGTCCCTTCAAGGTACCAACAAAGTCCCATAACTATTCAGCCACCGCAAATGAGGAACAAACAATTCTGGTCTTTCCATCATCTGGAATAATCTGTCTAAAAGAAGGAACATCTCTCAATGAGTTGACTTTTTAAAAAATCCTCACCCAAGGATATGTGGGTTTTTAAATTTATTTTTGTTCTTTCAATTAGCAATAATCGTGCCTCGTATAAACCTCATTGGCTACAATACTGCCATTGCACAAAGCTTGTTTTTTATTTTTATAGACCAGAGAGAGAGAGAGAGAGAGAGAGAGAGAGAGAGAGAGAGAGAGAGATGGATGGATGTGAAAGATTACCTACCAGTTGCCTCTGATTCGCACCCCAACGAGGAATGGAACCTGGACCTACGTACGTACATGCCCTGATCTGGAACTGGGCCTCCAAGCTGACACCAGCATAACTGTGATTCCATTGGGAAAACAACAACAAAAAAAAACCGGCTGTAGTTTAGACTGGCCACTTCGCTTCTCCCCTCCCTATGCTTCCGTTTCCTAATCTTTAAAATGGGAACCATTGGCTCAGATGATCTCCTGAGACACCGTCCAGCCCTGAGCAGCCTGACATTACAAAGCAGGAGACAGAGCATTCATTCATTCTCTTCCACCTGAGGAAACTGAGGCCCGGAAAGTAGAAGCAACCTCCCCAGCCACAAGAAGTCCGACGGTCATCCCTGGCCGCATCCTCGGATCACCATTCTCCTCTAGCAGCTGCTCTTGGCCAGGTCTTACTATGCGTTTGCAGTTGGGGGTCAGCTGAGGAGTTACACTTTGCAAGTTTCTGCGCCTCCTTTTTTTCTCTCATTACATTGCAAAGCCCTCCCTACAGTCAATTCCATAGCCTCCTCCCCATGGTCAGAAAGTTAAGGCATCGCCACCTGAGGGGAGTCAGGCTGCTGGAGCACACAATCGGGTATCCTGTATGCATGCCTCACAGACACGTCCGGTGAGCCCACAATGCTCAGATGCTGTGCTGGTCCCTGGAGCCATAGTGGGACCAGAGCCCCACTTCTGTGGAACTTAAAATCTCTAGTTTAGCCCTAACCGGTTTGGCTCAGCGGATAGAGCGTTGGCCCGTGGACTGAAGGGTCCCAGGTTCAATTCCGGTCAAGGGCATGTACCTTGGTTGCGGGCACATCTCTGGTAGGGGGTGTGCCGGAGGCAGCTGATCGATGTTTCTTTCTCATTGATGTTTCTAGCTCTCTATCCCTCTCGGTTCCTCTCTGTAAAAAAATCAATAAAATATATATTTTTAAAAACTCTCTAGTTATGGTTTCTGCGGAAAGGCAGACAAAAAAAAGAGCAAGGTGATGTTAAATAGCACCAAACTGTGTTAGGATGCCAATAAAACAGGATAAGTGAGGAGAAACCATATTTGGCTGGGAGGTCAGGGTGGGTCTCTCAGAGGAGGTGACCTGGGATACCTGACATAAATGAAAAGGGGAAGGGTTGGTGGCCCCTAAGACATGGGGGTCAAAGGAAGTTCTCTGGGCAGATCAGAACTGGGTATTCATGGGAGAAATGGTCACATAGAATGAGAACTAAAGAAACTCAGAAGACAGGGTAGAGTGGGCCAAGTGTTGAGCATGTAGGTGATATAGGGAGGGAGAGATGATGTCTAGGGAAGAGAGCATTGTATAGACTGGGGACTGAACTGGGGACTAACTAAGTATAAATAAATTAACAGGCAATAAATAAATAAATAAATAAATAGGACAAGAATAACTGTGGTAGTTTCACCCTGATTCTGGGTGCTTGGGAGAGCTGGATCTAAAGAGGTATTTTCTTGGCATTGTGAAACCGGTTTGTTAGAAAGATTAACACGGTGTCAATTACAGGAGGAATGGACCTAAATAGGCAGAGGCATCAGAAGTCTGAGATATCTAAGCATTAAAGAAGTGATGCTGTCCTGAACATTTCATCTTTAGGAATGTCTGCTTATTTTGTACAAGAGGCATGACGCATGAAAATTTATGCAAGAGTAGGCCTTCCTTCCCCCAGCTGCCGGCACCGGCTTCCCTCCAGCACCCTGGACCCAGCTGGCTTTCCTCCAGCCCCAGCTTTGTCAGGAAGGACGACTGGAATGACGTTCAGAAGACTTCCAGTCTAATTAGCATATTACCCTTTTATTATTATAGATTATTTCCCCCAATGGTGTCCTCTCCATCTGTTTTCTTGATCACCCTTTTTGTTGATCAACCTTTCTGTAGATTACTTCTGTGTCTTCTCTATTTATAGTTCCATCTCTTCCCTTAGTTGATATTTTAAGACCTCTACTTGTGTCATGCACATCTTGTTACTTTTATCTAATCATTCTCACCCTACGAGGTTTTTTTTTTAAGGGGAGAATGATGATTTTTATTTTTTTAAAGTATATTTTATTGATTTTTTTTTTACAGAGAGGAAGGGAGAGGGATAGAGAGTTAGAAACATCGATCAGCTGCCTCCTGCACACTCCCTACTGGGGATGTGCCCGCAACCAAGGTACATGCCCTTGACCGGAATCAAACCTGGAACCCTTGAGTCCGCAGGCTGATGCTCTATCCACTGAGCTAAACTGGTTAGGGCTTTTTTTTTTGTACCCAAATTGTTTTTCCTTACCTTCCAGAATGGAAGAACAGACCTAGAACCCAAGAGTTATCATCAACCAAGGCCATTTCTGGTGAAGAATTTCTTAGCTACATGAACCTGGTAAGATTCACAATGGGAGATTGAGTTCTAGAATAGCAGGTGATTGGGAATCTGAGGACGAATCAGAAAAGCAGAAGGGAACACGTTGGAAGTATTGTGCCAGTGAATATAAACAAAGGCAAGTAGTGACCCAGGATGGGGATCGGGGGAAGTGCTGAAGTTGTGGGGAAAATGAAGCTACAATTCAGACTTACTTTCTTCACAAAGAATTATTTTTTTAAAATATATTTTATTGATTTTTTACAGAGAGGAAGGGAGAGAGATAGAGAGTTAGAAACATCAATGAGAGAGAAACATCGACCAGCTGCCTCCTGCACATCTCCCACTGGGGATGTGCCCGCAACCCAGGTACATGCCCTTGACCGGAATCGAACCTGGGACCTTTCAGTCCGCAGGCCGACGCTCCATCAACTGAGCCAAACCAGTTTCGGCATTCTCAAAGAATTCTTATTAAAGAACATTCCATCAAATTGACTCAGGAGTTCAAAGCTTATAGCATAATTTTGTTTTAAAAAAAATCATCAGGAAATCTTGTTCGGAAAGAAACCTTGTAAAGGCAATCCATGTAAACCTTGGAAAACCTGTAAATACAGGAAAGAAATTTTATGAATGTAAATGAAGTGGAGATTTTTTTTTTTTTTTTACCCATTGGTCATATCTGTCTCAGGTAATGAGAACTCATAGTGGGGAGAAAACCTATGAATGTAATGAATGCGGGAAAGACTTTAAGAAGCTTTCATCTCTGACTCATCATCTGAGAAATCATAGTAGAGAGAAAGGCGATGAACGTAATGATCGTGGAAAGTCCTTTTCACTTCATTTTGCAACAACAAAAAAATGTGCACCAGTGAGAAACCTTGTGAATGTGACAAATGAGGAAAAGCATTTAGCCAGAATTCTTACCTTAGTGTGTATCAGAGGACTCATACTGGAGAGAAACGATGAATGTGATGAATGTAACGAGTACAGCAAAGCCTTTCGTGACCACTCGTCACATGCACAACATGAAAGGACGCAAATTGGAGAGAAACTGTACAAATGTAATGAATGTGGACAAGCCTTCACCACCGCTCTCACCTCACAGGTCACAAGGGAATCCATGCTGGTGAGAAACCATATACATGTCATCGGTGTGGGAAAGCTTCCAATCAAGGCTCTAGCTTTGTTGGGCTCCAAAGAACTTAGACCAGAGGGGGCAAAACTGCACATTTAATTTTAAGATGTAAATGCTATGCAATAATGTTTAGATGTTGTCATTTTTGACCCATTCCTAGAGAAGGGCTGAGCCTGAGTGGCATTTTTTAAAAAATATATATTTTATTCATTTTTTTACAGAGAGGAAGGGAGAGGGATAGAGAGTTAGAAACATCGCTCAGCTGCCTCCTGCACATCTCCTACTGGGGATGTGCCCGCAACCGAGGTACATGCCCTTGACCAGAATCGAACCTGGGACCCTTGAGTCCGCAGGCTGATGCTTTATCCACTGAGCCAAACCGGCTAGGGCCTGAGTGGCATTTTTTACCCAGGGAAATTGCCAATGAGAAGTATAATTACTAAGATCAAAACTCACTTCAAGTTAGTGGCACTTGCTTGGCCTTGAAGTGCACCAAGTATGAACCTGCAATCGAAGAATTAGCAGACAAACTTCAGCACCAAAACAGTCACTAATTTCTAGTTTTCGTACCATTTTATTATCATTGTTTTTATTATTTTTTTCCTAAATGTACATTGTTTTTCTGTTTTTGTTCATTTTATACATATTTTCGGTTGATTTTTCTTTGTTAAATGGCATTTAAATATATAAAATAAATATCAAAAATATATATATAAAAAAACACCTCACTTCAATACTAGTTAATATGGTTAACCCAACAGTGTGGGAAAGGCTGTTGCTGAGATGTCAAAATAGGTTGATGATATTTGATTAAATGACAGTGGACTATTCCAAAAAGCCAGCGTGCCATTGTCCTCTGATGCTAGAAAGTTAACCTGGGCCTAATTTATTTCAGGAAGTCACTATCAACTGTAATCATGAACACCAGCGAAGAAACATGGAAAACACCTGTATTGAGCAGTAAAAGGTGGAGTATCTCCCTGGCCCATAGCTTAGTTGGTGGGAGCATCGTCCCCATAGGCCAAGGTTGTGGGTTCAATCCCTGGTCAGCGCACAAAAGTCATAAATGGAACAACAAATCTCTCTCTCACCCCCTCCACCTAAAATAAAAATAAGCCAAAACCGGTTTGGCTCAGTGCATAGAGTGTCGGCCTGCGGACTGAAAGGTCCCAGGTTCGATTCCGGTCAAGGGCATGTACCTTGGTTGCGGGCACATCCCCAGTAGGGAGTGTGCAGGAGGCAGCTGGTCGATGTTTCTCTCTCATCGATGTTTCTAACTCTCTATACTTCTCCCTTCCTCTCTGTAAAAAATCAATAAAAAATATATTAAAAAAATAAATAAAATAAAATAAAATGCAGAATTGTGGCTATATTACATTCTTTGTACATTTGGACAAGGGCTTAAA